GTCGAATGTTTCATCATACAAGAGAGCACCTCAAAATATATACTCTTTCTCCGTAATGGTTAAATCCAACAAACACACTAAGTGATCTATGATCTCTATTTGTTCCAAAGGTGGTATCAAAAGTAATGACATCAAAAAAATATGTTAGCAATCCTCATCAATCTAAGTGTACTACATAGTGAAACGAAGGATTCTCTACACATTTATATTGAAAGTATTTTAGCATACTTCCAGTTTCACCATAAATCCAAAGGTTACTTGAGCCACCAGCTTCCTTACTAGCTAACTCATATCCAGCTTTAGGTCTGATTCCATAATCATCTACCATGTCAATTTGAAAACCTTGCACATGTGAAATTTTCTGTGGTGATGGCATTTAGGTGGCATGTTTTTGGCAACTAAAGGATGTGGTAGCGTTCAGTCACCAAATCATATACTTCATAATTTCCTTCAACTTTGTTTAATTTTATTCCCATATGAACATTGTAGTCAGTTCTTGTCTGTGCTCGGGGATTCTTGGTTAGATAATCTCTTTTATCTTTTCCTCGATGACCAGCACTTGAGCAAACAAACCTACTAGAAGTAAACAACCCATCTACAACACTTTTGTTGTTATGCTGCTTTCTAACATCAAAACCAATCTTACCACCATAGCTAACCCAAAATTTCCAAGCCTCATCTACACTGCTAAACTTTATTCCAGTATCCACTTTACAAATATTGGGCTATATTATTGGAATACAAGTATGTCCATCTATGACATACTTATGTTTGATTGGAATATGCCCCCAAAAACTGCTAGTGGAAACCAATGAAATAATAAGGATAAATTCAAGCAACAACCTTCACTTCTCTGCATTTTTGTTGATCCTGCTTTCCTTTGTAGCGTTGACTCATATTTGTGGAAGCATATTTGGTGATGAGAGAAATTGGGAGATAAGTATGGTATGAGAGATAGAAATGTGTTACTAGAAGCCAAGAAAACCATAAAAAAAAATGCAAGCAACGATCTTCACTTACCTCTCTAAATTTTGGTTGATCATACTTCCATCTCGTGTTTATTTATCTTCATGGAATCACTTCAATGCTAAGAGAATTGGAAGAGGTATGTCATGAGAGAGAGAATGAAAAGACTTATAGAAGAAGCCCGAAGAAATTGGAGGGAAAAGGAGGAGTCCTGTAGGGTTTTGGTGCCTAAAATCGACCTGGACCTATGGTGCTTCCTCTAAGACCTGTCTCATCTTTGCCTTATGTAATAGAAAATTATCTACAACCGTTAGATGGAGATGGATGGCCAAGATTAGAGCTAATGCCACCCTCTGCATTAGCTTCTGTAATGCAGAGGATCTGGATCCGACATACTCCCTTTGTCCCCAAAAGACTTAAATTTTAGAGATAAATATAGACACATGTTAAGGTAATATTTTTTTAGTGAATCTTCTGATGAATGAGATAACTTTTGTTTTATTATCAACGAGGAAATGGATTTTATATCTTAAAGTGTATTCGCTGAACTCATCAAATCTCACTCATATCTGAAATCAGTCCGGAAAACCTAATGCGCGAGGCGAACACATTTTTCCTTTTCTGTTCACCCCGCGGCCTGCATGCTCCCACGCTGAAAATGGGCCTATGGGCCTATGGGCAAATATGATATTTGTTATTGGGAGTACCTATACATCTTTCGAAAGATTTTTATGATCGTATCACACAGATTTTTAATCTTTAGATTAAAATCCGATAGATATAATAAAAAGCAAAAAGCAATTAAGAAACACCATAATGGACACTAAATTACCATATCCTCAAGAAAAAGACCAAATCCAATACAAAATTTAAAATTTACATGTGAAGATTCAAAAATTACAGTGTAACTTACAAAAGTTACAGTGTAAGTTTCATAAATTACACTGTAACTTACAAGAAAATGCACTGTAAATTTGAGTGAGAAAATCGAGTGAGAGATAAGAAAAAATCTTTCGTGTGAGATATAGCAAAATCGTTTGTTATTTGGGAGTACCTATACATCTTTCGAAAGATTTTTATAATCGTATCACACAGATTTTTAATCTTTGTATTAAAATCCGATAGATATAATAAAAAGAAAAAAGCAATTAAGAAATACCATAATGAACATTAAATTACCATATCCTCAAGAAAAAGACCAAATCAAATACAAAATTTAAAATTTACATGTGAAGATTCAAAAATTACAGTGTAACTTACAAAAGTTACAGTGTAAGTTTCATAAATTACACTGTAACTTACAAGAAAATACACTGTAAATTTGAGTGAGAAAATCGAGTGAGAGATAAGAAAAAATCTTTCGAGTGAGATATAGCAAAATCGTTGTTATTTTTATCTGGAGTGGCCAATGGGCCTTAATGATCCTAATATAAAGTCTCCACAAATATATTTTGAGTTGATCAAAAGACGTTTTTTTTTTTCGATTTTGCTATATCTCACTCGAAAGATTTTTTCTTATCTCTCACTCGATTTTCTCACTCAAATTTACAGTGTATTTTCTTGTAAGTTACAGTGTAATTTATGAAACTTACACTGTATGTAACTTTTGTAAGTTACACTGTAATTTTTGAATCTTCACATGTAAATTTTAAATTTTGTATTTGATTTGGTCTTTTTCTTGAGGATATGGTAATTTAATGTTCATTATGGTATTTCTTAATTGCTTTTTTCTTTTTATTATATCTATCGGATTTTAATACAAAGATTAAAAATCTGTGTGATACGATTATAAAAATCTTTCGAAAGATGTATAGGTACTCCCTTTTTTTTTTGACAGAGAATTCATCAAGACGTTGTTGGGCTAAAGCCTGGTAGAAAAAAAGGAATAAGTTCACCCGAGGTCCCTCAACTTAACAGCGAGATTTTTCGAAGTCCCTTAACCACAAAACCAGAAATCTCCACCCCTAAACTATACAAAACCGTTCACTCAAGGTCCCTAGGCAGTATATATGGGTGGTTTCGCTGACATGGCATCCTAGTCAGACAAAATTTTTTTTTAAAAGTAAGTAGGACCTACATGTCAGCCGCACGTTTTTTTTTCTTGTCCTTCTCTTCTCTTTTCTCGCTTCCCTCTTCTTCTTCAGTGAGGAGGCCGGTGGCGGGCGGAGTGGCGATGGCGGCGTGCTTCCGCTGCGCGCAGTCGGCGGCGGCGGCGTCCGGCCCCGCGGGGCCCAACCGCCTTCCTCCCGCGGGACGGCGCTGTCCATCGCCGTGGTGCACGACGCCATGGCCGCCTCGAGGCTCCGCGGCAGTGGCGGGGCGGTCCAAGTCGTCATCCGGACTTCTGGAGGCGGAACGTGAACACTGCGGCGTAGTCGTGGATGACGGTGGCGTCGTTGGCACGAGCAGCGGTACGGTCCACGGCGAGGATCTCCTCCTCCGCCATGCTTCTGGGCACCTGGCCGACGAACAGCCACATCCTCTCGCCGTCATCATCCTCCGCATCTCCGGTCATTACCGCGATTTCTCTCTCTCTCTCTCCCGTCTCTTTTCCTTTTCTGATGGCTATGCAACCTCCTGTCCGTCCTCTCCTCGTTTTTGCCTGCGCCTTTGGCCTTTCTATATCGGACGAGCACTAACCACTGATTGATTGATTGATCAGTATCAGTGTCTTGAGTATAAGTTAATTAATCGATGAGTAGTACCAACTACCAAGTCTTGATCTCGAGTAGCAGTGAATGTGATCGAATCATCTGATTGAGCAAAAAGCAGCAGCAACATTGATGCCTCCGCCTCGCCGTCCAGCGCGACGACAATGTCGTGCTCGGCGCCGGACTCCAGGAACCGCGCCCTCGTGGACCAGCACCCACACCCGACGAGGAGACACTGGCCTTCCGCGTCCGTCACTGACTCCTCTGGTGGCAGCGCGGGACGAGGCGGTTCCGCGCCGCCGGCGACCGCCGCATCGACCTGGCGTGGGACCTCTCACCCGCGCACACTTCCCGGTCTCGGGTTCGCCTGAGCCTTCCTTTGGGTGTAGCCGACGAGCCGCCGTCGCGCCGTGGTACCGCCCCGCAGCCACAGCAGCTGTGCGGCTGGAACAGCGGTGGTGGCCCCTTCTCCTCCTCTTTCTCCCCCGGTGAGTATAGATGGACAGACTACATCGGCGTCGTGCGTGCATGCATGCTGCATTCTTGGCGTATTAGTTTTGTGCATGGATCTTACGAAGGTCGGGGGAGGACGGCGATGATGGTGTGCCACGACGTCGAGATGCCGTTCCTGCGGGGGATCAACGTGAACCGGCCGGCACCAGCGGCGGAGACGACGACAGTGAGGGGGGCAACTGTAGCGAGGAGGAAGAGGAGCCCAGCGCGACCTCCCCCAACAGCACGCTCTCCAGCCGGCAGCGACGACGAGAACTGCGGCGGCGGCGGTGGATCTCGTGTACCGCGGCTGGGGCAGGGATGGGAGCAGCAGCAGTAGGGAGAAGAGAAGAGAAGAGAAGAGAGAAGAGAGAAAGGAGAAGAAAATAAGATATGCAGCTGACATGTGGACCCCACATGCTTTGCTAACTAGGATGTCACGTCAGCGAAACCACCCATATATACTGCCTAGGGACCTTGAGTGAACGGTTTTGTATAGTTTAGGGGTGGAGATTTCTGGTTTTGTGGTTAAGGGGCCTAAAAAAATCTCGCTGTTAAGTTGAGAAACCTCCGGTGAACTTATTCCAAAAAAAAGACAGGTTGAAGCCCATGGGCTGGTTTTTCTAGCTTGCAGCGATGCACGCTGGTTGCCACATGCGGATGTACAATACATAGGTTGTTGCAACGTTCGCGGGCCGCGAACGTCCACGTACTAGACGCCCCTCAAATCAGTCTCTATCATAAGAAAGAAAAATGAATTTAGGATATCGTAATAAGAAAAATAAATAAATTTGACTAAATATAACCCATGGTGACGTATCGACTATCAATTAATTAAGCAAACGGCTTGCAACCTCTGATTGCCAGCTAAAAAAATCCACGATATATTCTTGTCCTAAGTACAGTGACTTATGACCTCTAATCCCAACTACAGGTCTACAGCGATCAAATCACTTGCGCCACTAGCAAAATTGACGAACTGGATTTACTGTTTATAAATGAAAACCACTTCGTCGCTCACTCGCTTGTAGTCTCCAGCCACACAACCGTAAAGGTCCACACCTCTTCTCGCAACCACTTGAGCCACTCGCAAGTCTCAAGCCAAAATCATATCACAGTCGCCATGGAACTCTCCTCAACCTCAGCTTCTCTCCTGCTCATCCTCCTGCTCACCCTCGTCTACTTCCTCTACCTGCACCAGGATCCCAAGAAGAAGCCTCGCACCCATGGACTCAAGTCCTACCCCGTGGTCGGCACGCTGCCGCATTTCATCAATAACAAGGACCGTTTCCTTGAGTGGTCGACCGGCGTCATGAAGCGCAGCCCCACGCACACCATGTCGTTCAAGGAGCTCGGACTCACCGGCGGCGTCATCACCGCCAACCCGGCCAACGTCGAGCACATTCTCAAGGCTAACTTTGGTAACTACCCCAAGGGCGAGCTTGCCGTGTCCTTGCTCGAGGATTTTCTTGGCCACGGCATCTTCAATTCCGACGGCGAACAGTGGCTATGGCAGCGGAAGGCCGCCAGTTACGAGTTCAACAAGCGCTCGCTGAGGAACTTCGTGGTGGACACCGTCCGGTTCGAGGTCGTCGAGAGGCTGCTGCCGCTGCTCGAGTATGCGGGGCGCCACGGACGGACGCTGGACGTGCAAGACGTGCTTGAGCGCTTCGCGTTCGACAACATCTGCCGCGTGGCCTTCGATGAGGACCCGGCGTGCCTCACCGAGGAGAGCATGGCCGCGCCCCAGAGCGCGGAGTTCATGCGCGCGTTCAACGACGCGCAGAACGCCATCTTGGACCGGTTCAACTCGCCGGCCAAGTCGCTGTGGCGCATCAAGAAGCTCTTCAACATGGAGCCCGAGAGGCGGATGAGGGATTCACTTGCCACGATCCACGGCTACGCGGAGCGGATCGTCCGGGAGCGCAGGGAGAGAAGGGAGGCCCGGCTGGAGCGCCGCGACGACTTCCTGTCGCGCTTCGCCGCGAGCGGCGAGCACAGCGACGAGAGCCTCCGCGACGTGGTCACCAACTTCATCCTCGCCGGCCGCGACACGACGTCTTCGGCGCTGACCTGGTTCTTCTGGCTACTCTCCGGCCGGCCCGACGTGGAAGACAAGATCGTGCGCGAGATCCGCGCGGTGAGACAGTCGTCGGCCGGCAGCGAGGGAACGCGTGGCGCGACGTTCAGCTTGGACGAGCTGAGGGACATGCAGTACCTCCACGCGGCCATCACCGAGTCCATGCGTCTGTATCCGCCGGTACCCTTCGACACGCACAGCTGCAAGGAGGAGGAGTTCCTGCCGGACGGCACGTTCGCGGGGAAAGGGTGGCTGGTGACGTACTGCGCATACGCCATGGGGCGCGTGGAGGACATCTGGGGCGCGGACTGCGAGGAGTTCAGGCCGGAGCGGTGGCTGGACGAGGCGGGCGCGTTCCGGCCGGAGAGCACGTTCAAGTACCCGGTGTTCCACGCGGGGCCGAGGATGTGCCTAGGCAAGGAGATGGCCTACATACAGATGAAGTCCATCGTGGCGTGCGTGCTCGAGCAGTTCAGCCTCCGGTACGCCGGCGACGCCAAGGGGCACCCTGGGCTCGTGGTCGCGCTTACGCTGCGGATGGAGGGTGGCTTGCCGATGAAAGTGACAATCAGGGAGTAATCAAACAAGCGTGATGCTAGGCTAGCTGGACTTGTCGACTCCATACTTTATGTGTGTATCATTGCTCTCGCTTGTTTGGAGAAATAAAATAGAACTGGTGTCGTGCTCCGGTTTTTTACCCGAATGGTGAATGGCCCACACACAGCCACGCTTTTCGGGATTCACGTGAGTTCTGCGGCTGTGTTTGGCGCACCGAGCGAAATGAGATGGGCACGAGTTGTCGGATATAGGATTGCAGATTTGCAGGAGAAGCTATTTGCACGAGTTGATGGGCTGCCCATGGCGCGCCCACATCGAGCAAATTTGAATACTTCGTCTCAGCCGAAAAGTATGCCGTGGCGGAGCGGTGTTGGAACTGGAGACAAGGCCGAGCAACTGATACAACCCCTGGTGCTCGGTGTTCATCGGTTCATCCTCTCGCCTTCCCCGCTGATCAATGATGAGTGGGCAAGAATCTGGAACGTGTCCAACTCGGTTGGCCGAATCGGTGAGCGGACTTGCTTTTTTTTCCGAATGCGCAAAAGGGTGAGCGGACTTGTCTTTTTTGCGAACACACAAAGATGAGCGAACTTGATTTTTTTTCTTGATTCCACTGTGGCGTCAAGTTTGCCCCATCACACGGACTACCTTTTGTCTTTGTTTGTCGCTATGGCCTCGATAGAATCTGCTAAGAGCAAGGTCAATAATATAGCCCGTTGTTGGCTTTAAAAACCAGCCATGTCATATATAGTAAACAATATAACTAATGTCTATAATAAAAATACTATAACACGAATATTTTATTGTTTCATGGGACCCACCACCTTCTCCTACCGGCTACCTCCCATTCTCTTTCTCTCTCTTTCTCCCATCAGTTCATGTCTTCTCTTCTTTGTTTGGTTCTTGAGCAACAGAGATGGCGGCGGGGTGGAAAATAGCGGCGGCGGACGCAGGAGATGGCGGCGGCCGTGCGGCGGGCGTTGGAGACGGCGGCGGCTGGGCCGAGCGGCGGAGGCGGAAGAGGGCGGCGGCCGTGCGGTGGGCGTCGGAGACGACGGTGGCCGGGCCGCGCGGCGGAGGCGGAAGAGAGCGGTGGGCGTCGGAGATGGCGTCAGCCGTGCAGGCGAGGGGTGACGGGGACCGTGCGACGGATGTGGGAGACCGCGGCGGCCGTGCGTCGACGCCGGCGAGGCTGAGGGCGGTGGTCCAGTGGCCGCAGGAGTTGGCGACGAAGGCAGGCAGCGCAAGCATCTAGGCGAGCCCCACGAACTCCTCGACCGGCACGTGCAGTCCGGCGACAAATTAGTCGTCGGCTCACTCTCTCTCTCTCTCTCTCTTCCCCTCTCTCCTCCAGATCATCACAAAATCTTATGTGGAAGCAGTACCGCCGGTTATTGTACCTGCTCTAAGGGGATAAGATGCAGGTAAAGCTAATGGGCGGCGCCCGCCCCTCCCCCCTATACGGCTATACACTCCTTCCTCCTTCCCTTCTTCTCTTCCTATTACAGTACACTATAAATTTTTTTTTAAAAAAAATAAAAGTTGGAAAAATTTATGTATAGAAATACTATATATAAAAAATTGAATTTAAATTCAAATTTGAAACAGGTATGCAGACTTTTGACTTATAAACTTTGGGTCTATAAACTAATATTTGAATTCAAATTCAAATTTGAATCGGGTATGTAAACTTTTGACTTATAAACTTTGGGTCTATAAACTTTAGGTGTATAGAAATACTATATATAGAAAATATTTAAATTTAAATTCAAATTTAAAACAGATATGTAAACTTTTGACTTATAAACTTTGGGTCTATAAACTTTAGATGTATAGAAATACTATATATAAAAATATTTCAATTTAAATTCAAATTTGAATCGGATATATAAACTTTTGACTTATAAACTTTGGGTCTCTAAACTTTAGATGTGTAAACTTGAGGTGTACAAACTTTTGGTGCACAAATTTACTAAAATAGGAAAGTAATGCGGTACCAAAAAAGAAACCAGGTGGAGGGAGGAGGGACCGAACCCTGATCGCTAGGGGCGATCGATCGCCCCTTAGCAATCTCGATAAGATGCCTCCCACATCACAGCTCTTAGGGCAACAACAATGTATATAGCAAAAGTAGTCCATATAGATAGATCCACTTATACAAACTTTAACTATTGTAACATTCACAATGTATATGGATAGCAAATAGTAGTAGGAGGAGAGAAGAGGTAGAGACAAATAATATATTTTATTCTCTATGGGCAGCCCATATGCTTATGAGTAGCTTTTGTTATTTCTTTGCTATGGACTAGTTCCACAATGTTACTAGGTGGCTGAAACAAATATTGTATTGCTTATGGACACTTTTAGACTATATTGTGGATGCCCTTACAGAATGGTAACAACCCGACAGTGTCCGTCACAGCGTGGGCCTAAGACCAAATAGAAATTTCATCAAATAATAAATACACCAAATTATCCTTATTTATGCATCCAAATTAACACAGGGAGACCCATACGTGGTTCGAAATTCTAATACACATATAGTTTCCATGCGAGAAAATTGTATATCTACCATCGTATAAAATGGGATTCGCTCAAATACCATTGTTTAAATGGGTTTCGCTGGAATACCATCCTCAACCAAGGTGTCTTTGTTCAAATACCATCCCAGACGAAAATGCCCCATAGTTCTTCTTCCTCTCTCCTTCCATCCCATCAGCTGAATAGTTCGCCGGCGACCACCACCGGCTCCACTGCCTCACCGCCGTCGCTCGTGTCATCTTGGACATCGTCGCGCACTGCAGCCCCGACCAGACTCACCAGCCGCCATCACGTGCTCGCGTGGTCTCGGCTGGCCACCGTCATGCGCCGCCGCCCAACCCCGACTTGTCGTCCTCGCCGGTCGTGGTCGCGGTCGGTGCTGCCGCCGCCGCGACGAGAGAGAGAGAGAGGGGGGGAGGAGACGCCCCGACTCGTCGGCCGCCGTCACGCGCCGCCTCGCTTGTGTCGTCTCTGCCGGCTGCCATCGCACGCCGCCACCCTGCTCCGACTTGCCAGCCAATGACGACATGAGCGACGGACCGCCGGCGACCTATTCAGCCATTGGAGGGAGAGAGGGAGGAAGAAGAATAGCTAAGGGGCATTTTCGTCTGGGATGGTATTTGAGCAAAGACATCTTGGTTGAGGATGACATTCCAGCGAAGCCCATTTAAGCAATGGTATTTGAGCGAATCCCATCTTATGCGATGATAGATACACAATTTTCTCTTTGCATGCACCGCAAACTGCTATCTATTTAGCACTGCCGCATTCCAAAGTACACACTCCTTTCTTCCCTTTTAGTAGCACCTTCTCTTTTCATATGAAAAGTTTGAGATTTTGAATTGATTTTTTGATTCAAAATAAAAGTTTGATGTCACAGTTGTATGATTTGACTATAAAGTATTTGAGTTTTTAAATGAAAGTTTGATTTTGAGTTGAAATTTTTGTAATTCAAAATAAAAGTTATGGGGCCATGGTCGAAAGTTTCGTATGATTTGAGTTGAAATTTATATTATCTGAGCCGAAAGTTTTGTGAAAATGCTAATAAAAGGAAAAGGAGTTTATAATGGGAACATGCAAACAATGTGTAGCCACATGCAATCCTATATACTCCTTCCATAAAAAAAATGAATCTAGAATTGGATGTGACTTATCCTATTACAACGAATATGGTCATAAGTCTAGTTATAGGTTTATTTTTTATGGGATAGAGGGAGTAGCGCAAGGGAGGAAGATATACTTAAAAGTTTATTAGCCGTGCAATGTAGATCTTGAAAGAAGACATTAATGAGATGATCAACAATTGTTATCTTGTTATACATGGTGAAACTATTAATTTGACATATGCTTCATATCAAACTGTTATTTCGGTTTATATTCACGCCCTCGTGATATATGCTCAATGGGAAGTGACTGGCGTGTGCTTTGTGTCACGCATAGAAAAATCAATATTTTTTTAAGTACATAAGCCAAACGGAAAATGAATGGAATTGACCTAAGGGAACATTGAAAAGCTAAGCACGTTAGAGTAGTTATTTACCTGCAGGATTTTTTTATACTTGTTTGTGCCCACAAGTTAATGAAATACATCTATACTTTTTAAACATATTTTTAAACATATATTGCCATGTGATTATATGTAATTGATTTTTGGTTAAGATTTATTGTGTCCACACAATATCTTATAATTGTACTTTCCGTTAAATACATTTGATGTACAACATGAATTGAATTAAGCTCAAATGCATAGATTGCTAATATAAAAATTTGAAAATTATTAAATAAAATAAAATTGCATGTAGCGTTTAGCATGGGTATATTACTAGTCATCCAAAAGAAAAAACAAATTCACTCACGTGCACTCCTTTGTAATTGGCGGGAATATATTCTAGTTACTTGAGGGGATGACCCCTCGTATACCTTTTCTCCTAAATGCACTGCTAATAGGTTTTTAAAAAAAATCTTTAAAAAGTAACGATGTAGAGTATATTGACATCTATGATGCATACACCAAAAAATAATCTTAAATTCGATCTACACCTTGAAAAAAAAAGATAATAATCTCCAATTTCTACAGCTTCAGAAAATAATCTCCAATTTTCATGATTAGCAATTGTTGTATATATTTCTTCCTCTTCATCCGATAGTTTGCTAGGACCGTCTTCTTGAAAATTAAATTGTCCATTAATGATATATATATAATGAATTGCTGGACGAACAGGTGGTGTGAATTTTGGTGGTATGGAGGAGAAGATAATCCTGTATCTTCCATGTCCAAGTCTCCTGCAGACATCTTTCACAGCGCTTCCTAAATCAAATTGAAGGATCTGATCGAGGGTTGCATAGAAGGAATTCACAAGACCATGATCTATAATAGTTTGGAGAGATATTTCTTCATGGTTGTATGTGGGTAGGTTCCGGAATCTTTGGAGATTTATCTCAGCTTTGAGAACCAGGAATCTATAGGATGGGTCAGAGATTGCCTGATCATCTAGCCTTAAGAGAGGGAGCATATATATGATTACTCGTATGGCTGGGTTTCTTTCTCTTCCTTCTAAGAGATCAAAGAAATAATCTTGGAGTCCAAGGAATATTTTCATTTGT